GGCTTCTACACTGTCAGTAGCAAGAACACTCTCTAATATTTCAGTACATGCTCAAAACCCTGAAAGCAGTGGAGAAGAACTGGGGGGCGTGGAGCAGCATTGAGTCCTAATGCCCACTTTACAAGGCAGAGAAAAAAACCAACAACATGCTTGGGTATTTTGGCAGGGCAGGATGGGGTGTGTGTCTAATACTCTGCACCATCTAGTGGTTGTCACCTATGACCATCCTGGACGAGCACTGGAAGGCCTGTTGAATTTTAAGCTGTCGCCCCCATGGCCAATTTGTTAAGAGATGTGCGGTCTAGTCTGGTATTTTTTCAGGGCTCTGTAAAGATTTCTTAATTTTAGAGCTTGGACTGACTCTTTTTCTATTGCCAGGGAAGTATCTGTAAAACGGAGCTGGTCTTTAAGACATCAGCACAGGGCTTTGAGATGTGCAGCTGAACAACATCTAGTATTGCTACCCATATATCACAGGAGAACCGGAGGGGGAAAGAATAGGGTGTAATGCTTTTAAAACATATGGAAAGCATTATCTGAATAGTAAAAATCTGACATAAAACTATATACATATACTTATAGCTGAGATTTGGGCTCTCCGTAGCCCTTGCTAGACAAGCAGGGATAATGATTTTTTTTATTCACAGTGCATTTAAAGGAGGTCCCACTCTGATTTTCACAACTTGCCACCAGCAGCCAGTCTCTCTGCTTTTATTTATGGTTAAAAGTCCTGGACAGAGTCAGGGCACAGAGGAAAAAGGGGAGAGCAACTGGCAGATCTCAGCTGACACAAAGTACTGTTTGGTATTTTTCAAAGGACAATCAATTGGAAAGGACTTGCTGTTAATCAATGTGAAACAGATACATGTCAGTTCCCCACAGAGCACACTACAATGCGAAACAGCTTCCTTAGAGAAGCAGTTTTTTGTGAAGGGGGTTTGGACAGGCAATTTTTCTCTCAAGCCTGCATTTCTGACAGCTGCCTAGTACCTTTTTCCCAGACTTGCCACATTTGTGCTGAGATATATGTATGTCTCCTCTCTTTTGCTCCTTAACCACTGCACAATCTTTCAATTTTTTAAGCAAAGAAAGATAGAAGCCATATTTTATATCAGCTATAGCTGAAGCTGGATTTTTTCCTGTGCAAGGAAATGGTTTCTTGTTATCTGAAGATGACATCTCTATTTTACAATAAAAGCCTCCATCCTCTTTTTTTTTTTAGTTGTCTTTACTCCCCCAGCTCACGAACTGAACTTATCCAATAGCTTGCAAAGAAAAATAATAAAAGAAAGATGGTTTTGCTCTGTTTCCTGGCGACCAACACCACTGAGACCCCAGGTGGTATCACGCTGGCTAATTCAAGACAGAAACAAGCACCACGATAGTTAAGTGGGAAGAGAAGATGCAGCACTAACCTTGGTGCAGAAAATCCTTGCCACAGCTGTCTGCTGTGCATGATGGAATTCACAGTGATAGAGGAATCTGTTTTGAATATGGGAAATGATGTTCCATGCATGTTTATTTGGCTTTTTGGGGTTTTTCTTTCCTTAGTAAGTTTAACCACGTTGGCTCTCTTGCATTACCCTCATTACCTGTAAAAATATTAAACAAAACTCCCTTGACATAGGGCTAACACGGAGAAAGCTATGTCTTCTTTGCACTTAACCTCAAACTGCCTCTCCCTTTCTTCAGAACAATGTACCCTTGAGGGTGGGGAAAAGTCCTTATGCCAATACACAGCACTACATAAAATAAGAGAAAGGGCTTTAAAATGTCCGTTATTCCCAAAGAACATCAAGGGGATGGCAGTTCATATCAGACTGTGGGAATGAAGAAGGCAGTGTAGGTTTGGGCTACTGTGGAGGCCTGAAGGAAGGAGAGATCAGGGAGCAGCAATGGGAACTGACCTCTTTAGGTGCCTCTAAATCAGAACAGAACACCGCAGACTGGCGAGGGCTCCTGGTGACTCCTTATTACAGAAGCTCCCTCTGCACGTGCAGAAGGCCCGGTTCCTCAAAGGCATTTAGGCACAAGGCCAGGGCAATGAGGTATTTCTCAAGAATAACCACGTTGCCTTCACTGAAAAAAAAAAAAAAAAACCACCAAAAAAATGTTACAGATAGCACAGAGTAAAGATACTCCACAGGGAGCCAGAGGAATAGAAATGCAAGAGGAAGACAGCTCCCTATCCCTGCCATTGGTGAATACCAAACGGAGAAAAATGCAAGAAGCTCACAGGCATATGTGGTCTTCAGTCCTGTCAGTCATAGATGTGACAGCTGGGACCTTTAAAGACTGTTAAAGGAGGGAAACCAAGGCATGGCAAATACCAAGTCTGCCAGCAGCATAATTAACATGTCACATAAGGTCTGCTCAGAAACGCAGCACTTACTGGACCTCCAACTGCTGCTCAAAAATGCTGCTTGGCTGGTAATTCCTGCACCTTGCAACAACGTCCAAGTTGCTGCAAAGCCAAGAAAAAGGCAAACCATAGTGCTTGGGAAGGCAGAAATAATTTGTACCCCATGAGGGAAGTCAAACTAACCTACCACAGGGCTGGTTGGTACTCTCATTGCAGAGGAGTGTCACTGGAAACACGTACCCAGTCGTACTCTTAGAAAAGCACATCCATTTCACATAGGCAAAACATCTGAAACAAAAAGGATGAAGGCAAGTTCTGCAGGGAATTCATAAGCCAAGACAGGTTTGGGGACATCAGCAGCTGGAGCGTGCTCCCCACTCACCTGCAAGAACCTGTCTGAGACAGGTGGCATCAAGTGCCAGATAAAAGGGAAAATTTCTCTCCCCCACCTCAGGCAGCATACCTTGGGCACTCTTACAAACATAAAGTGACAAGTGACAAAATGAAAAATCCCATGTGAAAGCCAGCTCAACACAGAGGCATGGCAATTCTTGCCCTCCACAGGCAAAATGGATGTGCCTGGTTTAGTGCAGGAAGGTCCTAGTATCAGTGAGATACTTAGGGCAACCTAGATAAAAACTTGAATGCTCAGGTTGACCAAAATCTTTTTACAGAATCACAAAATCACAGAATGATACGGGGTTGGAAGGGACCTCTGGAGATCATCTAGTCCAAGCCCCCTGCCAAAGCAGGCCCTCCAAGAGCAGGTTACACAGGGACTTGTCCAGGTGAGTTTTGAACATATCCAGACATGGAGACTCCACCACCTCTCTGGGCAGCCTGTTCCAGGGCTCTGCCACCCTCAAAGTGAAGAAGTTGCTCCTCATGTTAGACGGAACTTCTTAAGTACAAATTTGTGCCCATTACCTCTTGTTCTGTCACTGGGCACCACTGAAAAAAAAAAACTGGCCCCATCCTCTTGACACCCTCCTTTTAAGTATTTATAAGCATTGATCAGATCCCCCTTCAGCCTTCTCTTCTGCAGACTAAGAAGACCCAAGTACCTCAGCCTTTCCTCGTAAAAGAGATGCTCCAGGCCCCTAATCATGTTTGTGGTCCTCTGCTGTACCCTCTCCAGCAGTTCCCTGTTCTTCTTGAACTTTTTTAAAAAGGATCTGCAGACATCATGACTGACCAATGTGGCCAGGCCAAGGACAGCAGCTGAATTCACTGAGAGCCTGAGAACAACAATTCAAGTACACCTGAGCAAACCTGCTATGGCATTGCTCACAAGTATAGTCGGCTCTTCCATGGCTGATCTCTGACAGACACATCAGGGAAGGGAAACTCAGAGGGGGAGGTTCAGGACGGGGTGAGACACAGGGAAAGAAGAGAAATAGCAGGCACGCGAAAAAGATTTAAAAAAAGAGCTTCAATAGTGCTAAGTCTGGTAAAAGAGAAAATTTTTACTGAATGTAGCAAGTAGCGATGAAAACAGACACACAAGTTCTATCTATAGACTGGCAGAAAATTTTAAATCACAATCATATAAAAATAACCTATTTCTGCACAATAAATATATCGCTTCCCCACCTCTTTCAGGTTGACTTAAAACGATGAAAGTTAAGGATTTCTTACAAACAACAAAGAATCTTAGTTAAGAAAATATTTATGAAGTTTTCCTTGCAAATTTCTATTTCTGAACAAGCAATTTGGAAAAAAAATACAAACACAACTCTTCAACAATACCACTGACTCCTTATACTTAGAGGACCTTGTCCTTGTCTCAACATCATTTTCTTGCCTCAACAAAGAGAAAAGACAGCAGCCCTGTGGTCAGCCTACAAGTTCCATTAAATAAGGACACCTTGATCAGGAGTTCCTGCATCTGAACAAAGGGAGAAAAATCAAAGCAGAATGAAGAAGCGGGATGGACACCTTGTACTCCTGATTGTTGAAAAAGAGTTTCTGAGCCATGCAAAGAGCTCTTGCCACCTTGATCAGATGGCACTCGGGATAGCAGATCGCAGTACCTGAACACATGCTCAAAATGCTATGGAGAGAAATAGTTGTATCCAAGCTGCTGCTGTAGACAGGAGGTTCTTGCTGAGATTACAATCAGCTGTGCAAACGAGCAGAGACAGAACACATTTGGCTAGATCGGTTTTTGTTAAGACCTGTCAGTGGTACAGGAAAGGAATAAAATTGCCCATATAATGAAAATGGTCTCATTTGCAGCTCAGAGATAAGTAGTATTTATCATTAATCTTTGATTCCTTCTGCTCAGGCTGCTACTGCAGCTCCTCTGGGATGGCATTAACGTACCATTTCTTCATGGCTCCTACTTATCTCAAACAGTCTCTGCTACAAACAGGTTTTTCACCCCTGGCCTGTGAAATTTCGTGAATTATCTGATAAGGGAGAGTTTCAGCCATGGTAACAGCAGGTCCACGATTCTGCCCAAATGTTGTAAAAAATGTGGGTCAACTGCGCTATATGCAGTAGTGTGAAGTACGACTTCAGGGTTTTACTGAAACTTCTTTACAGAGACCTGTAAGAGTTGAGCATAGCTTCATCATTCAGGAGAAGCACACTCATGCAATCAAAATAATCAAAAGTGATTTCACAGACAGGGGCATGTATTTTTAAAAAGTTATATTTAACTAAGGTCTAGCACCAGGCAAAAAACATGAATATTTAAGACAGTCAGACAGCAGCACATTTTAAAAAACAACAGTAATAATTAGCACACACTAGCTTATATTTTCAAAGCATTTTACAAAAACATGAATTAATTAAGCCTCACAACACCCTTGTGAGATAGGTAAGTATTATTAGTCCCATTTTAGAGACAGGGAAACAGGCATGGAAAGAGTATGACCTGCTCACCACCACACACGTCAAATCCAGGAACAGAACACTAGATCTTCCAGTTTCCTGCCACACGTGGTCTGACATTTTAAAAGATGCTGGTATTTAAATAAAAATTGTTTCCTCTCATCCCTTTTAAGACACCTGACCCCATTTCAGTCTGATATGAAAAGGTACCCACCACGAGTTATTCATGATAAGCAAGTGGAATTAGGACCTAACATTTTTTATAGCCCATATGTTTCTGGAACATGTTCAAGAAAAGACTTGACACGGGTGATTCCATAGCGCCAGAGCCAAAGAGAGTCGCTTCTCATCAGGGACCTGCCACCAGCAAACTCACCAAGGCCCACATGCAATGCTGATACAGCTCAGAATCTGCAAAAAAAGGTAAGGTTTCTTTGCCACTTCCAAACAAGGAATTTCTCTCTGGCAGGGAGTCTTCTCTGAGAAGAACTCATGAGTACAACTGCACTGAAAGCAGACTTCTATCAGGAGACTCTCAAGGTGCAGCTAAGGGCGCAGATGTATCTGTCCGAAAACCTGGAAATGTTAAAATATTGTGCTCTGGGTTAAGAGAGATGGTCTGGAGGCATCAGCCATCCCGGGGGGTAGAAAATAACTCCCCACAGTCACTTTGAAAAGGCAAGTTCCTTTGCATATCACTCTTGCACCGAATGAGTCAGTGACGGACTAGGATTAAAAATTCCAAACCACCTCGTCATGGTTTCAGCTGGGATAGAGTTGACTTTCTTACTAGTAGCTGGTATAGTGCTATGTTTTAGATTTGAGAGGAAAATAGTGTTGGTAAAACACTGATGTTTTCAGTTATTGCTAAGCAGTCAAGGCCTTTTCTGCCTCTCTCACAGCCCTGCCAGCAAGCAGGCCAGGAATGTTAAAAAAAAAAAGCAGGAGGAGACACAGCCGGGAGAGCTGACCCAACTGGCCACAGGGCTACTCCATCCCATATGATGTCAGTAGATCAAGCTGGGGGAAGGAGGAAGCAGGGAATATTCAAATTGATGGTGTTTGTCTTCCCAAGTAACTGTTAGGCGTGATGGAGCCCAGCTCTCCTGCTGATGGCTGAACACCCGCCTGACAATGGGAAGCAGTGAACAAATTCCTTGTTTTGCTTTGCTTGCACGTGTGGCTTTTGCTCCACCCATTAAACTATCTTTATCTCAACCCACGAGGGTTTTTTTCCCCTCACTTTTACACTTCTGATTCTCTCCCCCATCCCAACTGGGGGGAGTGAGCGAGCAGCTGCGTGGTCCTAGTTGCTGGTGGGGTTAAACCATGATTTAACTCTTATAAAATGCCAAACCTGGCAGATCCACTGCTGCCTGTTTGCACACCCAGGCCCAGAGGTTAGTGGAGACAGAGAAATAAAACCAGTCCTTCCACCTTCAGTTCCGTATGTCCATCAGACACTATCTAGAGTCCAGGAAGTTAGTTTCACGACAGCTCAATCTGAAGATCCTCCCCATACTTTCGGATCAGCTTCGTGTGGTTATGGTCCACTGACCACTGCTCTGGGAGGTGCTTGGGCTGCATGCTGTCCAAGAAATGCTGCCGCCAGCGTCTCTCCAGCTGCATAAGGGAGCGCAGGCCTCCTTTAGCAAAACACTGCACCACCTTCAGTCCATGTGGCATGTAGCTCTCATTGCAGATCCTGCCAGAACACAAGCAGAGTTTATTTTCACACAAGCCCACTGTCAGACTCTAGACCTGTCTACAACAAACAGCAAGGCACCGAAGATGCTTTCAGCTGCAGAGTCTAATTACAGACACATGGCAAGCTAACCAGGAGGGAGAGTTTTAAGCTCTACTTCAATGCCAGACTGCTTTTCGGAGCACAGTCACACTGGGAAGCTGGTTTCTTTGAACTGAGCAAGTGTTCTTCTTTTACAGCAATACTAAACAAAGCTCTCAAGGTCCACTACAAGCTCCTCAGAAGACAGACTGCAAATTTCTCAAGGCAAGAACCATATAACGCTCCAGAGCCCTGATCCTGCCACTGAATTCCCTGCCTGGATAGGTTCTGAGTTACAACACTGGGACATTACAAACAACAGTAAGCATAACAAGGAGAAAATACTGACTTCATGGAGAGACCAGATACTAGTTAAGAAAAGATATTTGGGGAGGCTTTGAGAAAGAGAGGAGACTTCTGATATGATTGTCTTTCAGTCTCTCTCCCTGATTTGTCCTTCAGAAGGTATAAAATAGTGGAAGGGAAGACGGAGAACAAGAGCAGGAGGAGATTGCTGGAACAGAAAGGGAAAGAGGGGAAAAAACCAAGAGTTGCAGTTCACAAACCACTGCTGGGTTGAGTGGGGAAGGGAGTAAACAAAAACACAGTAAGAAACGCAGAGTGCGATTGTCTACTAAGAGCCTTAGGCTACAGCACAATCTTCTTCCTACCCTTGCTTTCTAGTTAAATGCATCAAAGTAGTACAAGACCAGACTCTGGAGGCTTATACAAGTGATGAAGTTACGCTTCTAGAGGCTCATTTTTCCTGTGCAGATCAACTCCTAGCAGTCTCAAATTCAGACAAGTCAGTCAGCATGCGTGATCCCTAGCTCTGCAAACTCTACTGGATTTTCTTTCATTTTGCTGCAGTAATATTTACCCAAGGCTCTGTGTGCAGACAACTTTTTGTTGAACTCCTGTGCCAACATAAATGACTAAAAAGCTACATCTGCTGACGGGCTTGTTATACCTGGTTTCCAGACCAGCTGCTTCCTGGAGCATCTCTGGGGTGACTGCCTCTGTGTTAAAGAAGTCCTTGATGCTCTGCAGAAGTTCTGCCCTGCGGGGGTCGGGCAGGCTGTCTGCATTCAGCAGGGCTCGAGCCCCAGAGCGCACTTGCCTGCGCAGAGGGTCCTCCAGCAGACGCACACCTTCCTCAGAGCCAATGGGGGCTCCAAACTCCTCAGCCAGCTGCTGCTTCAGGTGGTTGTCATAGTAATTGGAGATGGCGTGGCAGGACGTGCAGAGGAGGAGCACGTCATGGGAGTTGTGGTCCTTCATCTGGATGGGGAAGTGTCTTCGGTATTCGTGAGGAACAATGTTCTTCCTAGGGAAGACAAACCAGACATTTCATTACGTTTGCCTAGGGCTATTACTCCCCAATTCCTCCTCTTCCAGGCCCACAAAAGATCAACTAATGCTAAAAGTCCAGGAAAAAAAAAAAAGATCACCAGGGTCAGGACCCTCAGTGCAGCAATAGGTTCTGCAACTTCTTTTTATTTGTACTTCTCTCTACAGGTTTTCTGCATTTATCTTTTTTTTCCTACCAAAAATTCATTGCTTTTGATTTAAAAAAAAAGTTATACTGTATAAAGTTATACTGTAAAAAAAAAAAAAAAAAGCAATGCACTATGAGACACATACCACTCAGGTAAACAGTAGCAGCTGCAAAGACAAAAAAATCTCACCTTTTGTGACCTCATGGACTTCAGACTCACCTAAACCTTTCAAAAATGTAAGGATTAAGCAATGGAAGAAATAGTACAGCTATTTTCACAAGGGGATGCCATCAGAACAGTGTGTTGGCACACTGCTGCCCCCTGCCATTCACACTGCAGCACATACACGGCTCATATGCTTTGCTCTCTCCAAGGACAGGTACCTCCTGCCTCTGTATGAAGAGGGAAGGCTTTTTGTTCAGCGTCAAACTTACCCAGGCGCATACAACTACAGAGCATTCAAATAGTGATAGCCCAGCCAGGATGTGAACAAGAATCATGTTTCAGGCCACTACCCAAGCTTCTGGATGCCAAACTAGATGCAGACCTCAGACCTGTTTTAAAAGATGCATTTTTCTCTTGCCCCGCTAAACAACTCACCGGATATAGGACTCTCGCTTCCCACATACAACACACAGGTTCTCTTTGACTGTCAGGTAATAATCAACTTGAGACTCGGGACGTCCTGAAGGCTCAAACCGCAGCTTCACAACAAATGGCTCTGTGCTAACTAGCTCTGAAAGGGTAAAGGCAAACGGAGAATATTTGAGACAAATTTGAACCTAAAAGCTAAAATAACAATGTTAAAATAAAGGAATCATCTTAGTAAATCCCCAACAGTATTTCCAATAAGAAAGGATACAAAAAGTTCATGCCCAGTTACCTAAGAAACAAGGAAAAAAAAACAAATAGCGATGTATTTCAAACACCAACACAAAAATTGGTATGCTCACCTCCAATCCCCTTGTCCAGATACCACTGAGCCTTCTTGCGATCACAAGTGCACAGGGGCTGTCCATCTGGTGCATGCAGGAAGCAGTTGTCATACAGGGGAGATTTCCTATGGAACAAGGGCAGTGTTACAGCAACGGTAGCAGCATGCCAAAAAACCCTCAGAGCTCTCTATAGTCATACGTTCCACGCAGCAATTCATGCAGCCTCCTCCAAATCACAGGAGTGCCCCTAAACGCACATTTAAGGTTGCTGAGCGCTGTGCAGGCTGCTGCTAAGGGAAGCAGAACATCTGAAAACCTACCTGGGGTTCACCAACTGACTGTAAGGTATCTTTGCTCTCCTGCTGCCAAGAGAACTGTAACTCTGAATCCCAGTTTTCAAGAGATGCCATCAATGATGACAACATTTTCGAAAAAAAATTACATTAGAAAGCAAAAGAGAATTCAAGTCAAGAAGGACGATGAGCTAAAAGTAAGCTAAAAGAGAGTGTCAATTACAGGCAAGGCAATTTCAAGGATCAGCTGCCTAAGCCCGTATTTTAATGTTTTATTAAGTCCACTTTTCTAAAACTTAGTGTGAACAGCAATTAATCCAAGAGAAACATATATAAAAAAAGCTCTTGGAGCACTGGGAACCCAAACACCTGAGACCATGGGAACAACAAAGCTGAGCTGAGGCCCTCTGAAACGCATGCACCTAACCTTAGTCTGGCAAAAAGTCCTGCTGGAGCAGTCTCTGGTGGTTGGTGGCAGTGTGTGGAAGGGCTCTGTTCTGCAGAAAACATTTCCTTACTCTGCCAGCCTCCTTCAAACAAACCCGAAGAGCAGAGCAGGCTGAGCTTAGGGAGCACCTGGGAGGAACTGGCCAGGGATACAGACATGTCACAACACACTGTGGAAAAGTTTCCTTTTTTTTCTCCAGCAAGATCATACAAATAAGTACTCAGCAGAGCTCTGCCAGCTGAAAAGGTTGATTGACAGGCTGTGTAATCTGACAAAAGGATTTCTTCTGAGGTCCATGGAGGAAAAAAACACAACTAAACAATAATGATACAGGAGATCTCCTTCCACTGAGCATCAGCAGTTCAGCTCAATCACCATGATAACTGGAGTATTTCCCAACTCTAAATTAATAAACATTAAAAATAAACAGCTTATAGAAGGTAAAAGTGGAAATGGACTTTTGAAATCACATTCAGTCTTATTACAGACGAGAGCCAGACTGCTGGAGATACTGTAAAAAACAGTGATTCTACAGGATCTCAAATAAAGCACCGTTAAAAACAATAAATAAACAACCAACCAACCATATGAAGATCTCAATTTAGCTTGGAATGCAATTTTGTTTAAATTTTAACTTTTCCATGAGGCGCAGTCCTTCTGTTTTGTATGATACGGGCTCCAACAGGAAAAAAAAAATACATCTCTTGGAATGCAATTTTGTTTAAATTTTAACTGTTTTGTATGATACAGGCTCCAACAGGAAAAGACTTGCTGTGTACAACACAGTACCGTTAATGATTGCTAATAAAATCAATATTATTGACTGTATTAAAATGCCTTTATTCCAATCCAATAAACTTGAAAAAAAGAAAATAAATATAAAAATGACTGGTTTTCTTTCCAAATGCTAATTACAGACAATTTTATTTTCTACATCCCTATGATTAATTTTATTAGATTGCATCCAAACAAAACCATACACACTAGCTCTCCATGTATTCCACTGCATTGAGCTTAGAGAGCCTTCTCCAACTTGTTTTCATTTAAAAACAACTGAACTTTAACTAGCAAAAGGCTGTAAGAATTTATGATGTGCTCCACAAAAATCACCTGTGGGACAGGGACCCTGAATCCAGCAACAGCTGAGCCTGCAAAGCCAAAGCAGTACCGTCCCACAGAAGTGCCCTGCTTTGATGCTGCCACAGACTGTCCCTTCCTGTGCCCTCCTGGGCACCCTCACACAAGGTGTTTCACCCCTTCTAACCTTAGCTTTCATCTCTGCTCAGCACCCTGACATCTCTGTGGCCACAGTGACCTGGGAGAGCACAGAACAAACAGCACTCCACAAGGCAGATCCTGCTGACAGGACAAGCTCCAAGCAGTTGACCACCTTTTCCCTGGAGGAGACAGGGCACAGCTGTGTGGGGAGTAAGTGCCACCAGGACAGCAAACCACCTCCTGCTGGGACTCAGCTCTCTAGATAATAAGGACAAAAGCTGAAGACAGCCCCTTAACCTCCTTATGATCCCAGTGCTGTGACCACTTTCAATACCACCTAGAGGGAAAACATAAACAGGATCTACCTCCCATGACCTGCGTTTTCTTTCCTAGCTCATATTATCCGCTCTGTTTAATGAGTAGAGCATGAGGCATCATTCAAAGTTTTCCATCTGCAGCCCAAGGAGTAAAACGGGCTCATAGACTTACCGTGCAGAATATCCTACGCCCAGAGGCTTCCGCTTGTGCCTCCGCGGATCTCTCGCTTGCTGACTGCCAGAGGGCTGGCCATTCACTGAAGATCTCCGATTCTTTGTCTTCTGAGGGGAATGTCCCTCTCCACTCTTCTCCTCTCCTGTGCTGCCACTCCTCCTTCCTCTAAATGGGATATCCACCAAGCCCCGGCATTTACCCAGTGCTTTCTCCCAAGCAGCGATATAATTTTCACCTTCAGATGTAGCAGGGAGGCTGGCAAATCCCAGCAAATGGAGGAACAGAGCCACGGAGACCTGGGCATCCCTAGCAGCATAGAGAACCTGCAGAAAAGCACAGACATCAAGTTACTGACAAACAGCAAACACTCAAACGTGACATTATCAGTCTTTAACACTAGGTACAGCACAGCCAGAAGTTGAATGCATTTCCTTTTGAAGTTCACCCTGAGTTCTGGCAGGTGAGTGACATTTTCGTAACATCACCACAGCCCAGGTTTTTAGGGTCGGTCATACTTGAAATACTCATGGGTGCCTTCAGGAAACACAAGGGGCTGAAAAAAATCTTCAGGTCAGCCAGGCCTTAAAAACCTTCCCACCCTCATCAAGTCCTCCCTAAATGACAAAAAGCTCCCTTTTGGTAAGACTGCCAATTCAGTGTGGTTATTTATCCTGTCACTCCCTCTACCGGTCACTGATTTTCTACACACCTGCAACGTGACAGCGAGGAAAGTGAGCAAACAGGGAAAACACAATGGTCTA